CCGGAGCCGGCGTGGGCGACCCCCCGCGCGACCCCTCCCGCGGGGATCCTCGGCGCCCGCTCCCTTCCGCGCGCCCGCTTCTCCGATGCGCGCTGCGCCCCTTGCCGCCGCCGCCCTCTCGCCGCCGCTTGCCCCTCGGAGCCGCCGCCTGAGTCCGGGAGGAGAAAATGACCGAGGTACTGTGGTCGGCTGTCCCCAACGGGACCGAAGCTGCCCTTCTGGCCGTCTCGGGCTCGCCCTGGGGAAACAGCACAGTCGCCTCCACCGCCGCCGTCGCCGCCTCGTTCAAATGCTCGCTGACCAAGACGGGCTTCCAGTTCTACTACCTGCCGGCCGTCTACATTTTCGTGTTCATCATCGGCTTCCTGGGCAACAGCGTGGCCATCTGGATGTTCGTCTTCCACATGAAGCCGTGGAGCGGCATCTCCGTGTACATGTTCAACTTGGCGGTGGCCGACTTCTTGTATGTGCTGACTCTGCCCGCGCTCATCTTCTACTACTTTAATAAGACAGACTGGATCTTCGGGGATGTCATGTGCAAGCTACAGAGGTTCATCTTCCATGTGAACCTCTACGGCAGCATCTTGTTCCTCACCTGCATCAGCGCGCACCGCTACAGTGGCGTGGTGTACCCGCTCAAGTCCCTGGGCCGGCTCAAGAAGAAGAACGCCGTCTACATCAGCGTGCTGGTGTGGCTCATCGTGGTGGTGGGGATCTCCCCCATCCTTTTCTACTCGGGCACCGGGGTCCGGAAAAACAAAACCACCACCTGCTATGACACCACCTCAGACGAGTACCTGCGAAGTTATTTCATCTACAGCATGTGCACGACCGTGGCCATGTTCTGTGTCCCCTTGGTGCTGATTCTGGGCTGTTACGGATTAATTGTGAGAGCTTTGATTTACAAAGATCTGGACAACTCACCTCTGAGGAGGAAATCAATTTACCTGGTGATTATCGTACTGACTGTTTTTGCTGTGTCTTACATCCCTTTCCATGTAATGAAAACGATGAATTTGAGGGCCCGGCTGGATTTTCAGACCCCAGAAATGTGTGCTTTTAATGACAGGGTTTATGCCACTTATCAGGTGACAAGAGGTCTAGCAAGTCTCAACAGCTGTGTGGACCCCATTCTCTATTTCTTGGCAGGAGATACTTTCAGAAGGAGGCTCTCCCGAGCGACCAGGAAAGCTTCCAGAAGAAGTGAGGCAAATTTGCAATCTAGGAGTGAAGACATGACCCTCAATATTTTATCCGAGTTCAAGCAGAATGGAGATACAAGCTTGTGAAGACTCAATCCCCAAACACCCACTTTTGTAACATGGTAGGATGCTTAATAGAACCAAGTGTTCTCCCCGCCCCCTTTAAGTTTCTAAAAGTTTAGAGGAAAATCAAACCAATAAATTAATGAGTTTAAAAAAAAAAAATGAAAATGCCCACACCCACACTTGGCTTGTTTGGGTTTGCTTTCAAGGCCTTCTTTCCTTCTAACCAGAAATATGTGTATAATAAAATAATACTGTCCCAATTAAACATTTACTTTCTCTTCTGCCTTTAAATTTTACAAGCTTTTCTGTTTAAGTGCACTTGAGTACTGGAACTATTTTGATATTAATCATTTCTCCAAGAAAACTGACCACCTGAATCCTGAGTTTGTGATTCATCTCGTCTTTAATGTTTTTAATAATCCATGGTAGAAACAAATTGAAACTCTACATTCTCAAACTTAGCACAGGTTATAGCAAAATACTAAACTCAATTTATTCACTCTCAGATGAACAGAGATCTCAGCTGGGTGTCGTTTTTGGTCCTATATGCATAGGTGGTAACTGACTGAGTTTCTTGGAGACTTGAATAGGAAAGTAAAGACAATGAATTTAAAAAACCTAAAAGTGATTATTTTCCAGTTATTTCCAGAAAACTGCTCACTATATGTTGGGTCCTAAATGTTTGATGATGAAAGCCTACATATATTATCTTACAGGTAAAACTCATTCAAAATAATCAAAGTGTACTTTCCTTGTAAACACCATGAACTCTGTTAGACTTCCTGTGAGAGAGCATTTTACTTGCATCACTGCTGTGCAGTGCCTTAGGAGTTTGTGTTCCAGTGCAAATGCTCACTCACATCTGTAAAAACAATTTGAAAAATCACAGATAAACTACAGACCAAAGTTGAATAACTGTCAGCAAGTTGAGGGCTGTTGGGCAGGAAGGTAGTATTATCAGAGAGAGAGTGTTTGCCAGTCATTCACAGTGCAGAGCCTACGAGCACATTCTCAAATGTATGAGGCAACTCTGAGTGGGGAGAAGACATTTTTAGAATAAGGACTGTAGTTTAAATTAAAACCATGGTGTAAAGGTTCTTTTTTGCTGCTTTGAAATGTTAGAAAACATGAAATGCAATGTGAAAAGGAGGCAGAATTTGTGTAGGTTGTGGTGATAGAATGAGAAGCTATAATCCTTTATTAGATCTTTTATCCTCATAGTTAAAGGGGGGGAAAAAACTGGAAACATATGAGAAAGGGAAATAAAGAGAATTAATTTTAAGTACCTAAGGGACCATGGCAGTGAAAAGTTACAGAAACTACTAATAGTTGAAGAAAAGACCACTTGGTCAGTGTTTTATTTTATATTTTTTCTCTGCCAGGCAGTAATGAGAAATCTATAAAATACTTTGATGATTTTATAACAGTTTTTCACTGAATGTTGAATTGCTGTATTTATAGCCTTTAAAACCTTAAAATTCTATATGATGTAGAATAATGAGGTGAGGTAACACAATTTATAACTCCAAGCAAATAAATCTCCTGTGAAAGGAATGTTTAATTATGAAAAATAGCCCCAATAAAACCAACAGAGTCTGCCCCTGATAGAGTAACTTGTTTGAAAGCATTTTGTAAGTAAAACAGTTTGAGGCTGTGTCTTAAGGCAAGAACCTGGGGGACACAGTGACAGATAAGTCAGGGCTTGATTTCAGTTGCTGCAATGCTTGGATGGGTAGATTGCAGATTTATGAGACCTTTAGCTCTTCGTAGAGTTTCTTCAGTTTATCCAGTCTCAGATCACTAAGACCAATGAAGAAAACTGTGTTTAGCTTCTTAAAAAGTGATTCTTTTTTTTTACATGTTCAGTGTTAATGCACAGAATTATAGAAAACAACAACAACAACAACAAACTTTTAGATGTCCTACCTACACATCCTCATTTGGAGGAAAGAGAAGGTTAACTGGCTTCTCAATTGGTTGGTGTCTTACAGCTTTTCTGTTGTGGAATCCTCAAAGAAAAATGTCTGAAATATGTCATTAGTGTATTGTCCCTGTCAAACATCATGTTCAGCGAGACAAGATTGATATCACTAAATTTGACCAAAATAGAAATTTCAAAACCTGTACCATCCTTAAACTCAAAGGCTAATGGTACACATTTTAGTAGTATTTCCTCATCATTTACTTTAGTTTTCTTCCTTGTAGGTTTCAGGATACCCAGCTTGATTTCCAGTATCTGTTAAGTACATTGTTTCAACTTCCAGAGAACTTTCTTGTGGAGTATGGATCCAGTGAGGAGGCGGACAGTGGCTAGAAAGCCCTTTTACTTCTTGGCATGTTTTTTTTTTTTTTTTTCCAGAGTGTTTCTTCTTTAGCATCACATAGACGACAATGACATGTGAATGCATGTCAATTAGTAAGAAGAATGATCTCACCAACTCCTTCCAGGCAAATAGAGGGCTCTGAGAAGAGTCTGTACTAATGGTGAAGCAGTAATCTGTTGGCTCAAAATCATTATGAAACATGACAATATGAATAAGTATTTTAATGGTAAAGGCAGAAATCTGTTGGTATTTTGATGAAAGAACTGCTAAAATTATAGAACTTATCGGTTAACTAAATTTCACAATACAAAACTATTTGAATGCCAAGTTCAAGGTATTATATGGCACACAAATTACATCTTTGACTCTGTGAACATTACTGCGTTTGTATTGAAGTAATAAGACAAGAGAGATAGCATGAGTGTAGGATTTAGTTAAAACCATGGCATTGCCACTTGGCTAGCTATGGAACCCTTGATCCTTTCAAGACCATTATTCATGGATTAAAAAGGTTGGATGACATCTGTTGGGGCCTTAGGGGACATGGAAGCATTAAAACTACAGATAGCCAGATGTGCATGAAATCTGCTACTGTATTTTCCAGGACTCTTCAACTTCAGTCTTTGGCTAAAAAGTCTTTGGCTAAAACTTCTTACCAAATTCACCAGTTACGATGTGGACCTATGACCTGTAGGTTTTCTCAATCTACTTGTGCAGTACACTAAACTGCCTTTGGATACAAGAGATGTCAGTGCTTATAGCAGCTGGAATTGGACTAGTGACAATAAAGATGTGTAACTTTTAGAGATCTATTGAAGCTTTAACTTTGTTGGTCAAATTGTAGCTATCATAAGAGTATTTATTAATAAAGCTTACAGTTCTTCAGATGTACATATTGAAAGACTTCCTGGAAAGATCCAACATACTGATGTAAATTATATTTATTACAATGTATACTATTAATGTCATACTGGTGTATTTTACATAACATAAATGAACATAGATAAAATGAGTTATTGTATATTATGATGCTTTTCAAATATCAGTATCCTAAAATGTTTAAGTCTTCAGATTTTTTTGATCTAAAGTATGAAAATCTGTTTCATGATACAAGTGATAAATTTTCTCTAGAAATGCTTTTGCACGTTTACCTTTTTATTTAGAGTTCTTTCTATACAAACACAGTTCCTTGTCCAACTATCATAAGATCAATAGCAAATGCGAAACATCTTAGCCAGACCGGGTCTTGTGTTGTCTGCATTTTATATGATATTATAGAAAAGTTTATGTTGTCCTTTCAGGGCAGTTTGAATTGTGACCCCAAATATGATCAAAGCTTCTGTTTCCAAATGCAAAAGGCTTGTCCTAAATTCAAAGTAGATCTCTTATGTTTTAGAAGTCTGGTTATCGATCTAATGTTAGAATTTAAGGAAAAACTTTAGGGATATGAGTAGAGAAAGAGGCAACTGGTATAATCAGTTACTGTGCTCAGTTCTACTTAAATTTTTGTGCTGTGTTTCTTCTTAAGGTGAAATAATATAATCTTAATTTCTTTGAGATAGAGTTTTTAAGTAACACACTACCAGCAAGTTTAACATTGTTATTAATTTTAATCTGTTTTATTTGTTCAGTTGGTAACGTTAATTCTGTGTTTTATAGTGATAACTATTATATTTGGCTGCTGATTTCTGTTACAATTTTTTATTCTGTTGTACATTGTATTATACACATTATTACCAATTAATATGAAGGGGAATATATGTGACATATCAAAATTTGTGAATTTGAATTCTAGTATGTTTTAGTGCTTTTGCAAAAATGTTTATTTTTATATTGTCTGTGATTTTAATATAGATAATTGAACTAGGTTTGTTTGTGATTATAGTGCCATTGAATGAGCGGTATGGAAACAGTGTTACTTGATATTTTGAGCTTTCTCAGGTTTATATAAATCAACGTTAGCTTAACAAATTCTAGACTAATTGTACGCAATCATGTTTTTAGTAAAAGGAATGTACATTTCCTATACATTTGCATGCAGGAGTGTACAATATTGTGTGTGTGTGTGTGTGTGTGTGTGTGTGTGTGTCTAAGGCATGACAGGAAACTTTGCATCTGCTATTGATAATTACAGCAGAGCCTTGATTTAATCACAGTCACTAGAATTGTACCTGCCATAGATAATTAAAACTGAAAAAGTCTCAATAAAACAATGAAATGTGGTCTGATGGCTTCTATGTTATTATAGTGTTAATACTCACAAGTTTTCCCAAGTTTTGGCATGTACCATTATACCAAATATAATACTGTAGGATGTATAGAATTAATACAGTGATTTCTTAAGGTGTAGCCTGGATTATAAAAAGTGAAGTGTTTGAGAAAAATCCTGATGCAAGATAATCGATAACATTATCATTATTTGATATTATTAATAGGAATGTGACAATTCTTTGAAGAAAATACAAAATGGAATCTTAATACATATTTTCATACAAGTGTTCTGTGTTTAAAATCTTAGCTATAATCTTGTCTCTAATTTGTAATCCATGGATGTAATCATACTAATAATCCTTTATGGTTTCTGTTTATCTATTAGCCTGCATTGCTGCTTCTCTCAAATTTATTTAAAAACATGTATCTGGTGCTGTTCAGTGAAAAAGTATGTAATGGAATGAAAGCATGCTTAAAGCGTTACTGTTTTTTTCTCAGCGTTAGAAGGTAAATGCACAATGGCCCTGCATTGGGTTTGCTGGTTGTCTGCTGAGACAGTGCCTGGGTAGAAACGTGCAAATCTCTTGTAGCCCTTAAAATATGATTCACTCAGTTTTAACTCCTTAACTAGCTGTACTATCCAGACTTCACTGCTTGGGAATCTTCACTGCTCCGTAGTGAGGATTTTGTGGGTGTGTGTATGTACGTATGTGTGTATGTTTATTTAGTGCATACATAGAAATTACACAAATAGTTATCTTTTCGATTTAAGAAGAATTTACCATAAAGCTCTGAGAAACTTTTTATTTTCAAAATCATTTTGGAACTGGAGTCAAAGAACCTTCTCTCTCCACAAGTAAATATACTGCATTTAAATTCTCTCTTTTACTTTAATGCACTGGAAAGTTTATACTCTCTTT